ATAATATCTAAAAACTAAAAATAATTTTAAAATTTGCAAAAAATTTTTTGTAAATAATCAATTTTTAAACTTTATTTATTCTTAAATTAAAGTATAAAAAATATTAAAAATAATATAAAAAAATAGATTGAAACCTACTTTATTTAATATAAAAAAATTTTTTCATTAGAGACAACTAAAAATTTTATTTTTTGATGTATCTATATTTTTATACTGGATCATAACATATTTTAATAATAATTTATTAGGTAAAAATTTAGAAAAGATATTAATAAATTTTTTAATTAACTTTATAACTTTATAAAAAGTTAGTATTTTTTAATATTTTTCTTTTATAATAGTATAAATTATAAATAATTTAATATTAAATAAAAATTTTATAAATTATTAATAAAAAATATAAAGTAAATTATAACTTTATATAAATATTATATTATTAATAATAATCTTGATTACTTTATTATAATTAAATATTATAGAATTATTATATTAATTAATAATAAGATTAATATAATAAAGCTATAATTTATTAAGTATAAGATTATATTATTATATATTTAAAACTTATATATTGATATCAGATATATAATAAATATCTAATTTTAATTTATTAATATTTATTAATAAATTTACATTTTTTTATAATTATTAACAAGTTTAATAATTATAAAATTTATTATATAAGTTTGTAATTAATTTTTATATATATAAATTTTATTAATAAAATTATAAGATATTTTACTATTAAGCAAGATTCAAATAGATTTTTTATTTATTTATGTAATAATTTTAATTGGATTATCTTTCTTTAGATTTTCTTTAGCTTAGATTTTCATTTTGTATTATCTGTATAATAGAATAGTTTTATATTATATTTCTAAGAAGATCAATTTCACTCTGAATACACAAATGATTATTATGTATTTAATACATCTAGATTTAGCATATTATTACACAGATGATCACTATGTGTATCACAATTATTAATTTAGATTATTAATATTTTTTTTAATAATTCTTTATTTTCTTACTTGTTCTCTTTTATCATTATTTATATTATTATTTATTATTTATAATTATTATTAATTATTGGATTATGATTAGTTATCCTTCAGAGATGTGAATTAAGTTAATTAATTCTGTTCAATCTATATGTATTTTATTTATAGATTATTATTAATTTATTCATATTTTGTATTCATTTCTTTTCTTATAAATATGACCTGTCTGTTCTGTAAATTAACTTCAGATCTGAATACTTTTAAATAATAAAAATAATCATAAGTTATAAAATTAAAACTTATTCATATCATATTTTATCTTGTTTATAATCATTAACAAAATAATTTTACAATTTAATCATTAAATTTCAAGAGTTTTTTCTAATTATCTTTTAGATATGCAAATTTAATATTATTATTTTATATAATACTAATATTAAAATTATTATCTTTAATATTATTTATTTTTACTTTTTCTTTTGATTAATAATCTTTTATAAAATGATCTGATTTATTATAATTATTATTATTATTTTTTTCTTAATTATTATTATTATTATTATTATTATTATTATTATTATTATTATTATTATTATTATTATTACTTAATTAATATGATTCTTTTGTATAATCTAATTCTATTAATATAGAATTATTATTATTATAATTATTATATAAAAATGAATTATAATTTCTTCTATATTTTATATATAATTATTATTTTAAGTAAATATTCTATTTCAAATATAACTATATTATATTAAATAATAAATTTTCAGATAATATTAAAGATTTTAAAAGCTTAATATATAACTTTTATTTTAGTAATAGATTTGAGTCTATTAATAAAATAAATAACTTGATCTAGTTTTTTTATATCTTTTATATATTTATAAATTTTAATTAGAAAGATATTTTAATTTTCAAAGATAAAATTATCTTTAATAATATATACTTTATTTAAATATAATATTTTTAAGTTTAGTTTTAGTATTCTTCTTTGTATAAAAAACTTTAATATAAAATTATTATTATCTTGTTCTCTATTATCTCCAGTATTACTTATAATTCCATTACTATTATTATTACCAAGTATAATAATATGTGCTTGTTATTGATTAACAAGATTAGTGATATTATTAAGAAGTTATTGAAATTGATTAGTACTGAGATCATTATCAGATATATTGTATCCTGATATTGTTCTTCAAAATAATCTTTAGTCAAAATAATCTTTTTTATTTCAAAGCATTAATAATATTGATGGCCAGTATGAGGAGAATTATTCCAATATTTTGAACTGCAAATATGTGACACTTTAAAAAGTTGTTCATGATGAGTTGTTTGCTTTGGGTGATAACTTTTCAATCAATGATAGTCTTCGACTGAAAGAATAGCATGATTTTGAGAAGCATTGGATGTTAATTATCGTCTCCGTTCTTCGTCGAATCTGTTCCACCAATGCTACATTCAGTATATCTTTTTCAAGTTGCTGAACTCTTTCGGCAGGCTGTAAGTCGAAGTTTTGTTCGTAGAAATTAGCTCGCAACCTTTTAGAACAACAGAACCTTCGAAAGTATTATTAAAATATTTAGTAGATCGTGAAGGTAAATTTATACGATTGTTTTGGTTTTTGGTTTGAATTTTTTCGTTACACATTGATCTTGTGACTTGATTTGATTGTTTTATCCTAAAAATCATGTGATCCGGACTTTTTTTTGCTGTGGTGCATTATCTAGTTTTCATAAAATGCCAGCAAAAGAAATTGTACATTTCAAAACGAATATATATGAGTATTTAGAGGCTCTACCCAAAGCTACACAAGAAAGATTATATCGTGAGTCTGCTACCTGTCTTGCTATTTTCAGGTATTTTGCATGGAAAAACTAAGATAAATAGATCTTAAGGATTTCGCATTGATTTTTAACATTATTTCTAATAATATTATTTAAAGATTGCTCCCGTCTTTAGCAAAGCATTTTGTGAATGCTTTGTTGTTCGTAGAAGACCCTTTCTTAAAAAAAGATTTAGAGCAATGGATCAAACCAAAGGGAGCTTCGTATGTTAAGAAACGAATCTCTTGACGTGATTTGTTAAATATAATAGCTGAAAAGGCTAAATAAAGTTGGTGGCTTGATCTATTTGGCTTCCTCAGTAAATTTGAAGAAAGTTGGGAAAAATTATCGAGATTACATATATTGGCGGAAAAAGAAGGATACATAATCATGAACAAAACTTTTCGAGAAAACTATAGGAATTGTCTTACTGGAGGGTATACTATGTATTTCCTAATTTAAAAAGTTATTCATTGTGAATTTTAATTAGGAACGCCGAATTGAAAAGTTTTGTGATTTTATAGCGGGGAACATCAATCTTTTGGCGTTCCGCCGAGCTCCAAAGACAAACATAGACCGGAAAATACCATTGAATATTTAGATAGTTATGCAAAAAAACAATGGGAGTCTATATTGCACTATATGGTTGGTACGAGAACAAAACGTCCAGGAAGGGGAGTAGTTAATTTGCTTACTGAATCAGGGCTCATGGCCGAAAGGTTTGTCTCTTTGATAGATAATAAAAACTTACGTAATTTTTCATTTTTAAGTAAGTCTCAAATATATATAAGAATGAATGCTTTTTTAAAGGCATGAAGGAGACGAGGATCCGCAGATAACAAATAAAGGATTTCAATTTCTATTGCAAGACATAAACACGCAAGTATGGGCTTTTTTACTTCAGTATCTAGAACTTGCAGGGGTAAGTAATGAAATCGTGCAGAAATGGCCGATCATCGTCAAATCATCCAGCGATATTATTTTATAATGTTATATATATCATAAATACTTTCTTGAAGACTGAGTTTATGAGAGGATGATATAGACGATAATTTTGCTATTAGTACTTGAGTTCTTTATATATTGGGGCAGGGGTTTCCTTTTTGGTTTGCATTTTCAGAAAGAGAAAAACCCTCAAAGCAATTATCCTTCCAATAAGATACTGAAGATGGATCTTGTGGAAGTTCTCAATTTCTATTTCTTATTGGGAAGCTTAGAACTGGGGCAGGTTTGTATATTATAGTCATTCATATTCATGTTTTTTAGAAAGTTTAAAGATAATAATTTTTGATTCATCTGTAAGGATTATTCAATCGATCAATTAACTCCTACTCAACAGCAGCTTATAGAGGATTTAGCTTACTACGGTCTTGTCTATCGTAGAAAAGTAGGTGTCAGATTATTCTTTTAAATCTATATCTCTGGAAAATAATCGACCGCATATTTTCATATGGTTTTTTAAATAAGCGAAACCTTTTTTGTTTGTTATTTATCAGAAGTCTTCACGGCGATATTATCCAACAAGACTTGCCACAACACTCACCTCTGGTACTATGTCGTTTACTAAGCAGCATCCCGGAAATATAATAAATCCACTTGCTGTAAAAGATATGCCAACAGAACAAGGATTTATTATTCTAGAGACAAATTATAAACTTTATGCATACACAAGTAATTTATTCATTTATTCTTTGTTATATGGCATTCATTCTAAATCCATGTTAATTGGATGGTTTTGTATAATAGACTCACAACTTCAGATTTCTGTTCTCAATTTGTTTTGTGAGCTGACCGGTCGTTATTCAAATATGGTAACTGGCAAGTTGTCAAGGGACAGTGCAAGGAAAGCTTTGATGAGCGGCATAACAGCTAATCAAGTAGCATTATATTTCTAAATATCTCGGGTCTCCTGTGGTTTTTTTTATAATTTTTTGAATTCTTGCTCGAAATTTTAGATAATATCATATTTGACATCGCACGCACATCCTCAAATGAAACAAAAGAGCCCTGTACTTCCATTGACTGTGATCGATCAAATACGATTATGGGAGATGGAGCGAAATCGCTTACAGGATACTGATGGTATTCTACTAATCTTAATAATCTTAAGAGAAGATTTTGGTGAATTTGGTATGACTAAATCAAATATCTTTTTCATTATATGAAAGCATTTTTGTATACAGAATTCAAAAGCGAACGCGATTTCAATAGTATTCTTGATCACGCGTACAAATTAGGAATAATTATATGGGCCAATAAGGCCAAAAGGATGTTTGCTGTAACTGAGGATGGACATCCACAGATACGCGAGTTCATTAAAAAACGTATGAAGAAAAATGGGCCACAAGCTGGTGGATCTTCGTCAAAGTCATGACTTTCAGCTTATAAATATCGAATTCTACCCATCATATATAATGCATGAATTTTAATAATCGATTTGTTTTGGCATTTCATGCGCCCTAGCATAATTTAATTTATCCTTTATTTAGAAATAGAATTAAAGTCTCGGTGAATTTTGTCAAAATTGTCCCACATAGGACATTGATTCCACAACTAATTTAAAATTATCAAAATTGAGGTTTTGCTCTCATTGTTAGTAAATAAATCAAACTTGGGGTTGTCTTAATAATAACCGTAAATATTATAAATCCATCTTTTATCCCTTCTCGTTATAGTATAATGGCCGGTTTAAGAAGTAAGTATTATTCCATTAACTTATTAAGATAAAGCTCGAATTATCTACTAAATTTTTTTGAACTATTCGCATATAGTGTAAGTGACCTTTTATAAACGAACAAGGAAGAGGATAAATAACCAATTTGATTTGGTTTATCTGGATTTAGATTTTGATTATTCTTGAGTAATAATATATTATTCTATGCATCTAAGGATTATTGGTTTGGCTTTCGTGCTAGCTGTAGGAATCTTATTCGTGATTCTGTCATGCGCAATTGATAAGTAGGTATTTTCTTTTTTTAACGAGATTTCACCATTGGAGTTTTGTGAATTCAAGCATGTTTCTATTCCGAGATATTAATTTATTTTATTGTCTATTGCTATGTTAGTAAATGGTGGCCACTCTTTGTTGGTAAATTTTCTTGCATTTTTTTACTCGAATTTGATCTTTGGTTAACGGTTTAGTTATAATGAATTTAAACACTCTACAAAATCAGCCGCGACATTTATTTTTGCATCCGTTCCAAACTGTATATTTGACGGATGTTCGAATGATAATAGTTTAGATTATTTAAATTCGGATAACGATTCAAAGTAAGAAAAAAATATAATATCTTGATTTTGTAATTTTTCTTTCCATTCCCATGATTAGACTAAATATGAATAACCTTTTCTCTAATTAATGTTAGTAGTTACAAAGATTTTGGGCATTTTCTTACGGCTTTTCTGGTCGTCACTGGGTTTGGTAAGTGTTTCCTTTGAGTTTTTGGGTAGGGCTGACTGTCAAATTGATATTATATGATAAATATCAGCATCCTAAATGTGTGGTTACAAATTGAAATGGGGGCAGTTTATGTAGTAAAGCACTTTTTTGATTCTGGATCAACTATTTTGATTTCAATTTTATATCGGTTTATTTTAGGTTTACCTTTTACACTTGCTCACGCCGGAGTGGTATTTATGAGATTATTTTTTTCAATAATATCAGATCATTTATTTTATTCATATTAACTTGCAAAAATTTTATTCGTTAATAATAGATAACATATCCAGCAATGATAATGAGCAGTGGTGGTGGATCTCTCGTTTACGCGACAAGTAATTAATTACTCTCTTTTATACTTGTATCTAATTTTCAATTGCACTCGAAATGCTAAATCTATTTTCATATTCGCTTAGTAATTGCGTATAAACACTTTTTCGCAAAAGTTGAAAGTTTTTAAATAGAAATTAAGTCAATTTCTCGAAATAAACTTGATTTTCCGGTTTAATATACATCTATAAAAATATACTTTTGGTAAACGAGAGGAGACTATCTATACTCGAATAAGGAGATTTGATCAAGTGAACTTTTTAACTGGCTGTTATTTATTAATTCATACATGTATTATTATTATCATCGTTATTGAAAAAAGGAAACAATAATCATTATTATGCCTGTATATTAACAATAAACGTAGTGGAAAGTAAATGCACTTCTCAATAATTGTTCTCAATCAAAAAAGTGCTCAGCCTAGGGGTCAAACACATAAATATTAGTGGGTGGCTACTTTTTTTTTCAAAATAAGACCACGTGTGCGAGCAAAAATACCAGCGTGCGCCACGACAATATTACGCACATTGCACAGCCACGACAACGATAATCCGCGCGAGAAAATAGACCCGCCACTTTTAATTAAATTCATTTTTCGTTCGTTATGTTATGATTATTATGTATTGTCTTGTAATTTTTATTATGATAGCTCAATTTTTTGATCTTTCTCGCAAAAAGCAAATTAATTAAAGATAAATTCGAATTGATCAAAAAAAAGGACGACGACGCGTTATAGAAAAAAAACGCCAAACATGACGAATTTCTCCACAAAACAGAGACGCATAACCATCATCAATCGCTCTTCGACAAATTATTTCGTTTTTTTCCTTTTCACACTAATAATAGTAACAATAATACCATCGCCAATAAATGCGCAAAATTGTTCTACAACAGTTGACTGTCAACCAGGACAAGAGTGTCTAGGTCGACAATGTTTATGGACATGTTACGATTCCACCGATTGTCCAGATACCGATGGAATTTGTTCAAATGGAATTTGCAGTTACCCTCTTTCCGCTCAAACATTAAAAACAACTCGCACATCTTCAACGTCAACTTCTACGTCCAAATCCGCGTCATCCACGTCCACCACATCCACATCCACGTCATCATCATCTTCTACATCAGAGGCAACAGAGGTCAACGTAAATCTTCCTTCAGGATCTCCAGCAGTTCAATACGATAACTCTTATGAAATTATATTAATAGTAATAATCGCATTAGTTGTGAGTGGTGGAGGCATATTTGGCCTTTGGTGGTATCGTAGACGACGATTACGTATACACCGATTTCATACAATAGTGAGTGCGGTGAATACTCCGCGAAATTCAATGATTGTCACGTCAGAAAGTTCAACACGCCAGATGGAGGAACGCCAAGCGGAGGAAAGAAGCGAGCATTTGGAGGTTCGAAGTAGTCGAGATATTACTCGCGAAATAAGATCATTAGAAGTAGAAGAGGTGGCACATGTGGTACAGCAAACACATCAAACTCACGTTGGCAGTAGTGATATTGTACATGGAGCTGGTGTCAGTAGCATAATTAGTGGTGTGGCTGGTGGTAGCAGTGGTGGCTTAGAAGGAAATACGGAGGTCGAAGAAACACCGAGTGTACACGAGACTACAATTTATGGTGATACTGGTGCTTCCACGTCTTCAATTGATCTTTCCGCTGAAGCAATAAATCCTCATCACCATCATGAAGAACCTTACCAGGGTGATGACTGAAAAAAGTGATTGATGCTTTGATCAGCAAGCATGCGCGATCCCTTGCTAATTAAAATCACGCGTAATATCATAAAACATGATATAATAATTGTAAACTCTCAAGCCGGAATTTAATTGGATCTGTATATATAAAAATACATATGTATATAATTTTTATGTGTTGAATTTGAATCTGTTGTTCAATAGTAACTAATAAAAGCTATTAATAAAAGTAATATAAATCCTGTGATATTTTTTATCTCTTTAAAATAAATAAATCATGAATAATTTTTTATAGCGTGTATGTGAATGCAATGTGTCAATTAGTTTGCTAAAAAGAGAATATATATATATATATATATATATATATTCTCTTTAAATGTGAAATCAGAAAAATATACATAAAAATAAAAAGGTGAGTGAGGATTAATAAAATGCGGTTCAATAAAGACTTTGGATGGTAAATGAATGAAATTATAACTGATTGAATGTGAAAAATGTGTACAAAGAAGATTTTCACTTTTCCTTCCAAGAAATATAAGAAAAGTAGAGAACCACATATCGGAAGTAACGGTAATAGTGTGTATGCTGTTGTTTTTGATTTAAGGAAATAATTGGTGTGGAATTAGCAAGGGGAAGGAGAAATACTTATCGATAGACTAATAAATAAATAAATAAATAAATAATACAAATTTATCTATGACGCACGTCTATTTTTAAAATTCTAGAGGGAGCCAAAGTTAAATTTTTGTTTTGAATTCAGATGAAAAAAGTTTGAATGGTAAATTGAGAAGAAATCACAGCCCTCCAAATTAAAACCATCCTCTTTTACACAATAAACCATTTGCACCAAATGTTTTTAAATGTCCAGCTCGAAACCAGCAAGTAAAAGATAAAAGGTGAAAAACTAAATAGAAAATTAAATAAAATCAAATAGATTAAATAAATGATAGCATGTCTCATGCGGTCACATGTTCGGGAGTAGGAGGAAGACTCTTGTTGAGAATATTTGAGCTAAGATAAACCACTTGAGACGAAAATTGAGTGATTCGAGGGGGTAATGGAGGTGGTTCTAAATTATCAAGTATGGACGGATTATTATTGTTATTGTTATTGTTATCATTAATTGTAATTGTCGTAGTTGAGGAGGTTGATGTCAAAGATCTTATCGAGGAGGCGGAAGATGACGATAACGACGGGGTAATTTCTGTGGTAGTTGAATGTAAATTTGGTGTTGAAACATTACGTCGTAGTCTAGGCGGAATGGGAGGTGGCGTAGGAGATTTAGGTGTGGGCGGAAGGGGATTGTCAACTCGCAAAGAACAGTCATTAAATTCTTCATGATCGATAGCATCACATCCTGAATCATGTTTATTCCCGGGTGAAAGACTCGGATATGAACCTGGCATTATACTTAGACATTTACTCGGCGAGTTTGAACCACTTGAAGATGCTTGACTTGAGACGGAACAATTGGAATCTCGACGACGTGTCAACATTCTACGCGTGATATTACTAATTGATACACCAACCAATGACATTCGCTGGTTCGTGATAGAAAAGGGTGCACCGAATAACGCGCCTTGACTTAATCTCGATCGTTCAAATGATACTGAATTTCTTTTACCGGCGTGATTATGTTCAAAGAAGGAATTTATTACGGTGGATGATGAGAATGTCGACCGAAGTGCACTAGATGATAGAGATTTTCGTGGTGATACTAGAATATTATTTGAATCATCGTTCAAATTTGGATGTTTCGTGCTCCTAAACGAAGGTGGTCTCAAGAAGGAATTTGAGGAAGATGAAGATGGCGACGTTGAGTTTGTCGACGTCGTCGTTATTATCGAAGATGAATTCTTTGTGGATGTGAATGATGATGATGATGATGATGCAGAATTAAATGATAGCGAATATCGTGACGAGGGTGACACTGAAGATGAACATTGTGAGGAAGAGGATGATGTCGACGATAAGGCACTAACGCTAAGATCTCCTGCTAATGAATTTCTCAGGAATTTCGGTAATGAGTCTTGAACCATTAAATCGAAACAATGTTGTTGTAGCTTATCAAATATATCTGCCATGTATTTATTCGTTTCAATTCGTCGCTGACAAACTGTCTTCATATCCTGCGGAACATTCAACGGTTTCGACGATTTATCCTCATCCAAATACGTTTCAAATATATGTACAGCGAACGTAGTAATTTCTTCGGAATCAGTATACGGAAAAGTATCCGACGACGCATTAAACATTTCTCGAAATCGCGAGACATCCATGTAAAAGTCCAGATTCTCATCACAATATTGTGATACCAGATATTCGCGGAATTTCGTGCGCGACGATTCATTCTCAATTATGTTCAATAATCGGATTTTTCCTGATTCACTATGCGTTGAACTTCTCTTGACTCTGGTTGGGTTGACATTGATAGCCTTCTCCATTACAACAGAATTACGTTGTGATGAAATTTCTGGAACATCATCAACAGGTGGTGTCTCTGTTGTGGTCACCTCTGTGATACAATCACCCAGGTTTGGGCCTCCATCAGTAGAAACTAGCCACTCAAAAGCTGGAAGTTCCGGTTTACCATCAGCGTTAAGGTTTTTCCCCTAAAGGTGAAATTTTACAAACGTTTCCTTAACTATTCTACATTATAGCATGTGTATTCTTCTTTCTCTGATATTTAATAAATAAAATAAATACCTCTTTTGATCTTCCTTGCAGAAATTTTAAACCAAACTTCAACATGGACTTTTTGTTTAGTATATATATATATAATACAATTAATGTAATATAAAGGGTAGAACCAACACAGTCGTAATGTGAGAGAAGTCGAGAAATATTAAGTATATATGAATGAATTAAATTATTCAAAAATTATTAATTATAAAAAATATTTAAATACCGAAAAACTTGAAAAACAAGTAGTTTTGAAGGGAGGACGGCCAACAGGAAAGTTTGGCCGGCTCTGTGGATAAGCAAGTAAGAAGAAAAAAAGGGACTGGTGGTGTGAGTACGTGGAGTAAGTATATTGTATTGGATAAAAAGAGTGGGTAAAAAAAAAGTAATAAAATAAATAATTTTATATTAGTATTATTGTAGCTCTAATATGTATATACAAATATAAAGACTGGTACGCGAGAAAACGCGCGATTAGAGTGGTGACGAGGAAACCAAGAGAAGATGAATTTATACTACTCCAAATTTGGCATGTTACAAACAAATTTTAACGTATGTAATTCAACCTCGAATTAGAATATCTCCAAAAAAGAAACAAGATTCTATGCAAGAGTTGGGATACAATATATACAATGTATGCATATAATATTATATTACTATTATTATGTCGTAATTCCTCACACATTTGTTTAATAAATTACAATATTAAGGATTAACTACCCCCCTCGCTAGTGACACGTGAAATGGTAAAAAGCAAATCCACACAAGGAAATAGAAATGTGAAACAGATGCCTAAATCTAACTTGGTGCACTAATTAAAAATGTCGGCGAGGAATTTTACTTATACCCTAACCTTTAACAATAGTCAGGTAACCCAGAGGTTTTTAAATTGTGTGACTTAACGCAATGGAAGTATCGTCTTTTTCATCTCGAATCAAATAGCGTGATTACACAAGAAATACCGATATAGCAATCGATCGTCCATTTTAACCAATGTGATTATTTTTCCGTCGAAATACGGGAAATTTTACGATTGGTTTACCTGTGTCAATAATTAAAGATCACACACAGTATTATTGTATGTAAATAACGTTAAGGTTTTTTTTAAGAGAGTTAAACTCCTCGGGATCGAGATTCTATCGAATCAAATGATAAAATCACGTTTCCCAGCAATCAATGGGATAGATGAAACATTTTTTTAATATGATACAAACAAACAAACAAATAAATTATTATATCTTTAGAATAAAATTTCTTCGAATATCGAGAGGACATCGTCCACGGCACTACGAAGAGAAGAAATGTTAAAATTTTATCAGATAAAAAACAAATTAATAGATCGATTGACCTTGATTTATTATTATTCATGGATCTTGACGAGGAGGATGTTTGTACATCTGCCTTGGTCATGTTTTCGATAGGAATCTCATCTATATTGCACACATTTCACATTAATAATTTTTTATTTGTCAAATGAAAAACATATAGAATGAAATCTCTTACTTTGCTTGTGACTCTTGTCCGTTGTTTTCGCTCCCTGTGATAATGCGGTTGACGATGACACAGTGTTACTATTTAGCCACGTTAGGAAATCATCATCAAATCCACCGTGAGGATTTGAAATGTTAGGAGATTCGTCTACCAAAGATTTCTCTTTACGTGTGGCGGAGACAGAAGAAGGTATCGGATTCACGTCATGACCAAGATTTGTAATCTCGGGGCGTCGTTGTTCACTCAGCTTTTTGGTGTCATTAGAATATAATGCAGTTTTCTGATACTCGTCAATAATATGAGAATTAGAAGCAGTTTCATTATCCCGTTGATTATTTTGATGATCCTTTTGCGAGGAGTTTTGAGTGGTGATGGTTGTTATTGAAAGTGGTCTCGTATCAAAGAATGAAAAACTTTTTGATGATGAAAAATTTGGTATATTGGTGGGATGCGATTGCTCAACAGGTAGTGAACTTGTGGATCTTTTGAGATTAGCAGCAGTTGTTTCACTTGATTTGTACATATTATTATGGATTGCATTTTGTGGGCTCATTAACATACTATTACTACCAATGGTACTACTACTACCATTACCCGGATCTATCCTTCCTTTATAAGGCGAAGCATAGTTTGCAAATTGGCTCGCTTGGAATGGATTATTAGGAGACTGAGTCGCTTGAAATATATTATCAGACTGGCTTGTTTGGAATGGGTTGTTATCAGACCGACTTGCTTGAGATATTGATTTTGTATTATTATCATTCGAAGTGAAAAATTGTTCATTTAAGCTATCCGAATGGTCGTTGAAATCATCAAAAAGTTCGTCATTCTCATCTTTGGATGAAGTCACCAAACCCTGATTTGCTGTTGTATTATCATAGTCCATCTTATTGATCTCTTCATCTACTGGCAAAGTCGACACAAGGTTGAGATTAGTCGATGATGAGGAGATCGGAATCACGTGGTTCTGATTATTTGATCTGACTTTCTTTTCTTCTGGATTGACAATTTCCGTTGATGTGTTTGCTGAAGCGGATTGGAGTTTACGTTTCTTTGGTCGGTGCCTACAGCCTACTTTACAGCATTCATGAGCACATCTATAATAATTATGTTTTAGTCAACTATAATATGATATTCTCAAACAAAAATCAAACTTGGTGAAATTGTAAAACTTGCTTTTCTTTGTCCTTACACAAGTGATTGCACTTGAATCGACCATTAGGTAGCAAGTCAGAATCATTATAGTCGTTATTACTATTGGTATTATTGTCGAGTTCCATTACTTCCATATCCTGTGAATCACCGCCAATTTGGTCGAAATTCTGATCTTGATTATGACTCGAATATTCGATGTTCATATTGTTTTGATCACGTAACACTAGAAAAAATTAATTATGTTAGCACAATGATTAACGAACTAAAATGAGTATAAACTTACTCAATACTTCGCTATTATTGTTACTAAACAAATTGTTCGTTTCGTTAAATATCGCCTTTTATTTGATATTTAAAAAGAGAATTAATAGAAGTATTTTATCAATCAATTAGATAATATTTTAATAATTTACCTGATTCGGGGGCGGCCCAACTGATCCTTGACTGAGAAACGCAGGAATTGAATTATTAAACTTCAGTTTGGTGGGATCGAGCTCTGGATCAACTCTTTGCAACACGTCCAATCCAACTGTAAACAAAGAATAGTTACGCTTGTTGTCATTAGGTTAAAAAATCAACCATATATTTTAAAAATTCAGACCATAATCTTCCAGCAATACCGAACAATGTATCAGTTGATTAGCTTTAGTAATATTCACTTTAAACCTAAATTTATATCCTTGCTGTGCCTTAAATACTCTACAAAAAAAAAGCGTTACTAAATAATCAAAGATATAACAGTGAAACTGGATGTAACGACGAAGGGGATCGTGTAATCTTTTTAGCCAAAAATCGTTTTACCAGATTCGTTATATCCAGTTTCATTATGTATAAATTTAATTTATGTTAGGAAATTGACTCTTACGGAAACCTGCGATAGTCCACAAACTTATTATCCGATGTCGCCGCCAAGAACGTAGAAAACATATTCATTCCATTATCGTTGGTCTTGAGTTTCTGATTAATAGTGCTAATCTCAACAAAAAGTTCAACTTCCGTTGGTTTATTGTACTCGGAATACTTGATTCAAGAAAGATGTAATATTTTAAAATTAATATAAACTCATCAACATAAACTAATACTGGACTCTTTAACAATGAACATAAAATATTAATCACCTTTGATATGTCAAGTTTGAACCTTGGTATGCTAGCCAATGCATCGTGAATCTATATATATAAAATTGTGAATATAGTTAAGTAAAAAATACAATATTGAATTGAAATACTCACTTGGTTTCCAAAAGGAGGATTACGACTAACTATCTGTTTTATTTATTAGAAATGTTTATAAAATCAATTTATTTTTTATTCTCACAATACACAATACATGCACAGCTCACCATTTCAATCCGCCTTGGGTCACATTTCTCTAATTCAACGAATGTCTGTATTCCAGCATTCGCAAAATGGCGAGCATATTGTGGACCTTTTTTTGATTACGAAAACAATATTAACAAACTATAATTTAGAAATAAAATCAAGGGTGAATAAATAATTAAAAACAAATTATTACCAATTCCATCTATCTGACGCAAAATAAACGGAGAGTTTTCCCAAGTCTTTGCTCTCAAGCAACGAGCTCTTTCCGATATAAAAAAATTGCATTGAATTGAAATTATTTTATGATAATTAACATTCTAACATGAACATGCAGAAAGAAACTTACAAATCTATTGCGTTACGTAGAGTAATCACATCTTGTTTTTGGACCATGCATTCGACGATGCCTATTGTATTAGAAAAAATTAATTCAATATAAGATAGAACTAAGGCAAATAAAAAGCCACTTACAGTTCATTATGCGAGGACAGTGTTGAAAGATTATATTCGCATCTATATTCATTTGAAAGCCCATTTTAGGATCCGAGAAAGCAATATGACCCAACGTGCACTTAAACAAATACCAAATAAATACCAATCAATATCCATTTTGAACCTTCATCTCGAAAAAAAAGGAATGAAAAATTACCTGAATCATGACATAGACTTTGTGATCGACACGAGTAACTTTTCCTTTGAGAGGGAATCTAATCTGCGGATGCTTATTAAGGTTGTTCAATACCTAAATGGATGCAAGTATAAAGAGAAATTAATATAAGTAAATTTTATGGAATAAGTATATACATAGAAGAGTAACATACCTGTTTTTCACCCTGATGACAACGAAGCTCAGAGAACTCTGCTGCCTTAGATAGCATTTCGAGCTTTTGATAAGATTTGATGAATAGAAAATTACTATGATTCAGTATCAAGATAATTGAATATCCAATCAATAAATTATGATATACAATGGACGCTCGTTATAATAACATCTCAATACAGTAACACTATTAGCAAATTTTTCCCCAATCATTCTATATATGCTCGATAGAGTAACATTTATGATAAATCCAGGTTATTACATCGAGCGTCCACTTTATATATATATATATACATATAGCTTACAATGTCACAAAGCGATGCCATTGATGGCAGTTTGGCGATCTCTTCCATGGTTTTGTATTTTACATAATATTTGGCCATTGCCTCTCCATACTCTAAAAATCAATTGCTAAATTAATCCATTTATTAAAAAGACCAAACCTGAAAAAAAAAACAAAAAAAAAATCCAAGAAAACCAACCAGTTATTTTCAAATTGTCGCCACTGCGAATAATCATACCCGAATCATTCAAAATGTCCAGATCTTTAGCACAAATCTCTATATAATTGGGCAAAAAAAAATCAGCTGATTATTAAATAATTAACAATTAAAGAAAGGAAACATGATATTTTTGAATTAAACTTACCTTCAAGTTGTTTTTCGAAATTTTGATGATCTTGATGCTGCAGTTCACTCCCTCCCTCATCTGTATTCATCTTATAATAAGTGGGATTTGATTTTATTCGCACATATAAAAACGTCGACCTGAGCCTATTTAGAAAAAAATAATATTTAAATTCATTTCTTTGATGTTTATGGATTAGAAATTCTAACAAAAATTTACATGGCCTACCAGGCCATAGCTGCATTGATGTGATGAATGGTGCCCAAAGAAATCTCCGCATTCAGATGTTCGGTCAAATTCTCATGTAAACTTAAAAAATAAAACCATTAATTCTTATTTACAATAAAGAGTCAATAAAACTAATCACGTACCTGCTTTCCAACAGCTCAGTCCCTGATACTAAATTTTCATACTTATCTTTCATTTCGTTGCTGGTCATTATTACGGCTATTTGACGAAAATGAATCGTTATTAATTATATAATCCATTAAACGAAAACAAAAGTTTTAATATTCATTTCTTACCTACACCACTATCATCAAATTGAGGTCGCCCCTAATTAATTAAGAAAATTAAAGATCAAATTCGAATATTCCAATGTACAACAAATCTTTATAAAGCACATGCAAAAATAATAATTACAGCTCGACCCAACATTTGAAGTATTTCCAGGTCGGAATATTCAACGTATTGTTGATTATTCCACGTGAGAGTCGATTTAATTATAACAAGATGTGCAGGTAAATTAACCTTGTTTTTAAAAGGACATCGTCATGAGTATGAAACCAAAAGGTTAAAAAAACAGCCGATATTAATGAATGGCTTACCCCAACCGCTAATGTAGATGTTGTGCCTATAAATTATTATAACTAGTTATTTTCATAATACAGATTCAATAAATTTCTTTATGAATTAAGAAAACACAACTCACAAACAACTTGTATGGCACCACAAATAAACAAACTTTCGACGAGTTTTCGGTCTTCAGTATCAAGTCCTGCATGATGGTAAGCGACACCATGTTTGCATAGGTCTAAACATTTGCATTTTAATATCAAATAAAATCTATTGAGAAAGATTGTTTCCAGCTTTAATAATAAAACCAAAATCTTACCTTGTAGTTTTTTATCTTTGTTTGTGATAATTCTATTAAAAAAATCCAATCAATAGATATATTTCCACATAATTCATCTTTGCAAAAAAGCAAGAGGAATTACTTACCTCGAGTGCGGCTTTATGGCGAGTCTATGTCCAGAATCCTGAATTTGTTTTAAAAGAGCGCTGCAAGCAGCTTCTGCAGATTTTCTGGTGGCACAGAACTAAAAAAGATTCAACACAAAGTTATATATGAATTATACAAGCAAGAGACAAAATACAAATAAAAAATCTAAAGCAAATACTTACGATCAATGTTGATTTATTATTCGAGTAGTTTTGTATGAGATCGAGAAGCCTAAAAAATTCGACAATTGGTATCATCTATTTATCACCAAAAAAAATTCATTGACGTAATAAGTAATACGAACTTGTAATCTAATTTCTTATCAAACATATAAGCATTGCAATTTTCCATCGGGAAAGAGAGAACATGACGGACCAATCGCACTGGACGGTACTCCTCCCCAAAATGTAATACTTTGGCTTTTAATTATGGAAAACAAAAATTAATACGAACTTAAATATAATTAAAGAAAGATAAGAAGATCAACCAACCACTTCGACCCGTATTAGAACCAATCCATGATGCCACATCATCGACATTTGGTACTGTTGCTGATAACGCAACGAACCGAATATCATTTCCCATCGTTTTCATCCTACTAACCTGTATTCAATAAAAAATGCAAAATAAACTATTAAATATGTAAAGAAATCAACCTTCAATTAATTTTAAAAAGTTAAGTATTAATTCACTTACGACTGCCTCCAAAGTAGCACCTCGCTTTTCCTTCAGCATATGCACCTCATCTATCTGAAATTATAAAGTAATCGGATTAATATTGACAAATGTCAACATTTATGGTTAACCATTAAAATTCATACCATAAAAAGTTTCAACAGCTCGAGTAATTGCCCATGATCTTTCCTAAATATTTAAAAATATCTTATAACATTCATTCACCATATCATTTTCCTTACGCGAATAACAATCTTACCAACGACGCGTCATCGAGTCCCATTTTTCTGGTGTAGTGACACTTTAAATGAAAATATAATTTAATTTATTCTAATTTAATAATCACATTTTTTATTATGAATACAGTTATCTACACATACATTATATCACATCTTTTTATATCATTAATATGCGCCTGATTCGTGTCTCCTGTCAATTCACCGCCTAGATATAAGGGAATAAAAAAATAGTTAATGTACATCCGAAAAGCAAACCAACCAAATAAAAATAGTCATGTTTGAGTGCTTACAAGACACCCCAATGGTTTTGAATTTTGTTTGCCAGTCACGAGAACGTTCGGAGCACAACGCCTAAGATAGATTATGATCGTATAAGAACATGATAAAGCCATGCTATTTATCTTAATATATTTGCCTTGGTCGGCGCCATGTAAACCATTTTTGCTCCAATGTTCTGCATTAATAGATTGATCATTGAAAGTTCGAAAATGACGGTTTTGCCTGCTCCAGTTGGAGCTATTAAGAAAAAAAATCACATAAGAATTAATTCTCATCTTCAAAATTCCCATAAAAATACGATCCCGTACAAACCACTAACGACAAGATTGTCCCTCGAATACAATGCCTAGTTAATATATATACGTATTTCATTAGTAAAATAAGATCAATAATTTTAATGAAAAAGAATTAAATAGATTATACCGTATCAATACATCGTGATTGGACAGCATTAAAAAGACCAAAAGAAAATAAAGGCCTAAATCGATCAGCTTATAGAGATTATAAAAAGGTCAGTGATAATAGTAGTTTGTTAACATCAAAAAGTAATTATTGCAAAGATTTCGTATGGAAAAGGATACGAAGCTCGGACACTGGTCTAAGTGCTATATTAGGTATTTGATTATTCGAGTTCCCTAAATAGATAAAACAATTGCTAATTATACTATTTTGTCACATTAAAAAAAAAATAGATGTACTAATTCAAATTTCTTGCCTGAATTTAACGAATAATTATAAGGAGGGTGTTTCATTGGCTCTTGGGAATTTGACGTTGATGTAGCAAACTATTGAGAATCCATAAAATTTACATTTTAGTAATTTTCGATTAATCGCACGATATTTGTACTCACCATTTGATTGAGTTTGCTATTCCTCGTAGCTATTTGATCTATTGGCACTTCAGAAGAAAAAATGTTATAATCGTCATTTTTGTTGTTATTGTTATCATTGTTGTTGTTGCTGTTATTTTTATTAACTCGCGACATATCTCGACCTGAATTAAATAATGAATGCCCGGGCGACAGCGACGAAGATGACTGATTATAATTACTATATTTATTCATATTACTATTATTATTGCTATTGTTATTGTAATTGTTATTGCTGTTGTAGTTGCTGCTATTATATGCTGTAGATTTATTTCTATTGAAAATTGAGTTGGTCGTCATTTCTGTCCTGGACGGATTATTGATCTGCGGAGATATGGGATGAAGCAATCGTCTCTTGACAGTATTGTTAGCACGAACAGGACGAACAGGAGGAACAGGATGAAAATTGAATTTCGAAAATGCGGCTAATAAAATAAAATATTATTACATTAAATTCGAGAAGTAATACGACTAGAGTTTACCATGAATTCGACTCGTGATAATTTGTGCTTATTACAAATCTGATTCGAAATCATTCAAGTTGGACTCACGATAAACTCTAAATACGACAAACCAACCCTAGAAACTCACCTGCGCTTTCACGTTTACGAATTTCAGCATCGCTTAGACCCTGGTTACTAAAATCAACTCGTGCATTAAGAACTTCGGGCGGTAGTAATGAGATGCTACTCGTCATTAATGGGGGCTGACGACGTGTATTAGTAGCCGAAGAGCCATTAGAGGTCTCTTGTTCGCTTGCAAATATTGGGTTTAAGAGATTGCTCATTTGTAAATATAAAAATACGCGCAATAGCAATATATTTTGTTTACTGTATATTTGATCAACAGATTATTATTGTATGTATGTATGTATGATTGTCAGTTTGTTAATTTTCTACTTTCCCATTCAAACGCGTTTTAATAATGACACGAAAGGGTTCCGCGGAAAAGATACTGGTTATTTAAGATTACGCGTAGCAACAGCAACAAATCACAATTTTATTAAATTTTTAACTACATTCTTCCTTGTTCATTAATTTACTCTTAATCTCCTGCCAATTACTTAAACAATCTCTATACAAGCTATTTTGTCGTGATGAAGGTGGGAAATAACTACCCAATCCTGGCAAAAATACAATCACTGATCCTAGATCACAATTTATACAGTTGTTTCCGACTTGTCGAGATCCATCACTAACATAAGGTTGCATCAATGGATTTTTACATGCTTGACATAAAACAATACTATCGAAACTATCAGAAGGTGGGACTATTTGATTTTTATTGATACATAATGTACAATTGTTTTCTAATTGCTGATACGTTCCCGGTTTTCGTGGATTTTTTAGCGGATTTTTACACCCTTGGCATAATATGGTTTCGAAATCGTTATCAATTATTGTTTGCGCAAGGCGATCGTGTTGAGGTGATGATGATGATGATGATGACGGTAATAATGCCGGTGACCTTGGACGTGCGCAAAGATGTTTTGTCGTATTTTCGGGAAAATAATGATCACAAAACGAACAATAGGATGGATATAGAAAAGGTATTGGCTTTAACTTGTGAGATATTGGATCTAAGGACTAATAACAAATATATAAATGTTTGAAAACCAACATGTTTTATCAAAAATTACATAAAAAACTTACCACCGCTTTGGAATGAACCTCCAAAAAATTCCACCGTGACAATCCGCTATCTACACCTGGAGCATTTATAAAGTCATGGATCTGCCAATGCCAATCTCGACAAAATAAATCTTCGGAACGAATTAAAAAACGCGGCAAACAATTCACTTTCCAATACGGACAACTGCATGTCACGTGTTCAGATAACGAATTTAAATTGTCGAATGTGGGGCATTCGTAGCTCAGTGTGTGTATTATTGAGAATGGCAATTCTGTTTCTTTGGAAAGTATAGAGTCAAGTTTACCATTTACACTATAAAGAGAGATTTTTTTATTAGACTCGAATATATTTTCATATTTTTTTAATTGAGGTACTTACTTCTCTAATACACGCAACTTTGCTAATTCCTTTAACGAAATTGGGCAATTGGAATCGACAACTATTAGCGAACGTTCATAGTATTCTTGTAGTTCACGCTGACGATTCAAAAAGGCGAGATAAGCTGGACATATGAATCTCCTTTCAGAACAAACTATTTGATGATCCTTTGAAATGAACAAAGTTACCGATTAACATAATTCTAAAAGAAGAGAAACTAGATTAAACGCTTACTTGCCAATCCTCTTGTAAAACAAGTTGCCGACAACTACAAGTTTTCGCATCATATTGTTCATTTGTGGGAAATGAATTTAGATAAATTAGTCCTTTTGAATTCATTTCAAATAAACCGATAAAATTTGACGCGGTGTATAAGAAATGTGAGCAACGTTTGTTATATATATCAATATATGCAATGCAACACAATTTTAATTTAAATTACAGACGTATCGGTATGCGTTATTATTTGATAATGATTTCCCAGTCTTGCTTAAAAAAAATTGGTTTGTGAACCATTGATTAACTAAATAGCATTAAAAATGCGGTCCTGCGCTCTCTCTGTCTAAGCATGCATGTTGCTTTTTCATGGCTCCTCTTTAGGCACAATCATCTCGCGATATTGTTTTATACTATCGCCTTCAAATTTGCGAACTTGACCTCGCTCACACACCCAAATTTCTTGGCAAATTGAATCAATAAATCGTTCATCGTGTGACACGAGAATAACACCACCTTTGAATTCTTTTAGTGCATTAGTAAGAGCATCGATAGAGTCCATGTCAAGATGATTTGTCGGCTAAAGTAACGATAAAGAAAAAGATTTTAAGTGTTTGGATACCTTACAAAACATCTTGAATTAAAAATTACCTCATCTAAGATCAATATATGTGGATTCTGTAACCCTAGACAAGCAAAGGTAACTCTGCTTTTCTGACCTCCAGATAAGGTTTCCAAAGGCTGTAAACCTGTCATGCCAGTTATACCAAAATTTCCGAGTTGTCGCCGATACTCTTCCTCACTTCTACCTGGCCAATTTTTTGACATAAAAACAACCGCATTGGCATCAAGATCCAATTGATCCACGTGGTGCTGCATAAATAGGGCAAATCTTAAACGTCCATGACGATGCACCAAGCCACTGCGAGGTTCCAAATTACCGGTGAGCAGTTTTAGCAATGTAGATTTACCAGCTCCATTTGGACCTATAAAAATGCAAATTCATCAACCAGCTCGTCTTTTTACAAATAATATACACGTATATTTATGTGAAACTCCTTTTACCGACAACAGCAATCCGAGAATCTAATTGCACTGACAAGTTAACTTTAGATAATATAGTTTCATTAGAATTATATCCAAAACTAACATCATTCATTTGAAGGATAGGCGGACTAAGCGGATCTGGATTCGGAAATCTTAAGATTGTATAATGGTTAATCCATGAAAACATCAACACAAATAAAAGAATGACAAATTAAATAACTCACTTGAAGGTCACGCTATTTTCAATTTCTGGAGGTTCTAGTTGCGGTAACTTTTCCAATATTTTGATTTTGCTTTGAGCCTGTGGTCCTCTTTTGGCATTATACCGCCAACGATCGATAAAATCTTGCAAATGCTGACGATATTGCATCTGACTTTCGTATTCACGCAGCTGGTTTTTTCGACGTTCTTCCTTCGTCGCCCAGAATTGCGTAAAGTTGCCCTTATAGTAGTCAAGACGTTCAGAATGCTGGTGTAAAATATCGGTAGCCACTTCATCAAGAAATTCTGCGAATATTTATTTTCATTAATACTCTTGCAATGCATCTTAACCAGAATCAAATGATTTTCTTACCCCTGTCGTGAGATACGACCAAAAGGGTACTCGGCCATTTCTTGAGGTAATGTTCTAACCAAGCAACAGCAGGAATCTTTGATAAAGCAAATGATGTTTGAAACATTATATCACAAGCATGATTGATAATTGATTGTTAGATTCTTACATCTAACATGTTTGTCGGTTCGTCTAACAATAGTAGGTCCGGCCGACAAAATAAAGCTCGTGCTAATGCGAGACGCATTCGCCAACCACCTGAGAAAGTTCTTGTGGGTAATTTATGCTTTTCTGCCGGAAATCCTAAACCCGATAAAATTGCCGCTGCCCTATTTTATGATGGAAAATAATCAATATATTTTATATACTTTGAAAATCAAAGTAAAGAAAAAATATACATTACCGAGACTCTGCTTTGTCACTTTCAATATCCTCTAATTTTTGATAGACTTCTTTTAGACGCATGCTTGCTGCTTCTTTTTCTTTATCTAAATCTTCTGCATTAATTCCCTCAGTCGATTGTTTCTCCAAAGAGTTTATTGTCTCGTTTAATGTTTTCTCTTCTTTTAGTAAATGTTCTCGCCAAATATCAGCACTTAATACTGCTTGAATTGCTAATGTATCATCGCCCACCATCTGAAACCAATTAATTTCTATATATTAGAAATACATTATTAAACCCATAAAACAACCAAATCTGTTACTTGCTTCTTGTTCGACATGTAATATACTAATATGTGTCGGTACACTGATTTCGCGCCTAGAAAGTGTCCTCAGAAGCGTAGATTTTCCGATACCATTTCTACCAACTAATCCATATCTTCTACCATAGACCAGCGACAGGTTTGCATTTGTCAAAATTCGTTTTCCAGCGAACGAAATGTCAAAGTTTTCAATCTTAACGTCCTTGATTTTTCCCTTTGTTGAGGTGTAATCCAGAATTGGGTTAACCTGTATATAGAACTCCGCATCGTTTTTCTTATTTATTAATTTACTAGCTTCATAGTTTGACCTTCGTTCCCGCTTTTCTAGCTTGGCCTTAATTTTGGCTTCAGCTTTTTCAAGCCTTTTTGTATCCACTCTCGTTTCGACTTTTCGACCGCTAACAGCCTCTAGGTCTATAGACTGATTAACTAAGCGTGACGTTGCCGAGACCGAATCTCTCGAAAGCATGTTAATAGGCTGCGCAAGTTTGTTTAAACCTTGCGGGGTCTTAGTATTCGTTTGGTAAGCATTGGCAAATAACTCTGTTAACTGCTCACACAATATTTCAATGTTGCTTGAATCACCAGCAGCGTCAACAAGAAGTGGGCGAACAAAGTCGGCAATTGCATCTTCATCTTCACCTATAGAGGGAACCTCATCCAAATAACCGACAACATAATCTACAATTGCATCGTCAATATCTGGAATTGAACTTCGTATTAATTGATTAACTTTTGCGAGTTCGGTCTCGGCAACCATTTTCTCGACTACCAAAAATCAAATCATGCACAAAAAGTTTTATGGATACATCACGTGATACGAATCAGCTACAAATAATTGTCCGACAAGTGGATCTAAAAAAAGTTATCTTAAAACCGTCTTCACGCAGGAATTAATAAGAAAAAAATATACATAAATCAAACAGAATTTAGAAAATGTCCTTGGTTTTAGCTATATCATATATTGTTGGGATGTTGATGGTGATGAGTACCTTTTCATATTTCTGGCGAAGACGGAAAAATGGTATTGTCTTTTAAAGAATTAATTCACGTTGCTTAATAGATAGTTGTCGCTAGTGTACTTTAGCCTCGAATAGATAATACTGACTTTTGAGGCTCACGATATTTTTTAAATTACTTTTTGGTTAGAATATTTTATCGTGGGATATTTTATTGGATTAGTTGCATCAATTTAGATAATATTTAATTATTAATTTTTAATGTGTTAGCTGCTCAATTGAACATTTCGAAAATGATAACAATAGATTAATAATAATTAATAATTCTAGTGGGATCTCATCACGAACCGTGGTTCACTGAACACAAGGAGAGAGATATCTATATTACCCTATTACAACAAGACCCACCAGTTGACGAGGTCTTGCTCAAAGGCGCGTTATTATATCGTGCTGTAATGGACTTGCAACAGCTGACGACGCTGCGTAACGATAAACAAGCGCTCGCCACCCTGCTACAAAAAGGAGCAGTTGGCGACGATCTATGGACGTCCCTTATAGAGGCTGAAAACGAACTTGGTCAAGAGTTCAGGGATTTAGTTGCAGAAGCGAACACCTTCGGCGATGACTGGGGTCAATACATATTTTCTAATGCTAATGAAGTGTTACAGCATCAAAAACTTAAAGATCTAAAAACCGAGATGAAAGAGTTAAAAGAACGCGAAGAGAAAACTGCAAAACGGAGGGAAGAGCGCGAAAAATTAGAGGCGGAGGAAAATGAGCGAAAAGAGAAGGCTAGGCTAGAAAAAGAAAGGAAAAAAGCACAAGACGAATTATTGAAAGATGAAGAAGCACAGAAAAAGAAAAAGCCGTTAGAGAAAGATAGTGGTGGCAGTACTGGTAATAAGAAGGGAAAAAAGAAATAAGATGAGAGGACAATGAAAGAATTGATATTAATTTATTTCTTTTTTTTAAATTTGCACATAATTGTTAATCAAAGCAAAAAAAGAGGCAAGATGCTCAAATATTGGTTATTTGGCATTTCACTTATACTTGCTTACCTTTAAACCACCTTGTATTTCTTTGATAAAAATGGACAATATATGGCTTATGAAATTCTTTACGAAATCGTATAAACTAACAAAATATGTCATTTGAAAAGCCAAAAATGCATTTTTTAGGTTTCATGGAATGAATTAATGTTGCTGAACAAAAGATACCCTGACAGTTATGCATAACAAGGCCAAACTTTATCTCACGAACACCATTTTAAATATTTTTTCCTCAGAGCTCATCACATGACTATTTTGCAATATAATCTTTATGTTTTACCCGTTTTAGAAAATTGAAAATGGCGATGATCAATATTGTACTACATTTCTTAGAAGCTGTGAAATCCTGTATTATATTTCTTAGAAACTGTAGAATCTTCATTAGTACACAAGTACTGATTGATTCAAAATCAAATAATATAATAAAGTCTTTTTTTTGTAATTCAAGTTTACTATAAAATATATTATTTTATATAACATCATCTTGTACTTGAATTAGTCAGATATAGCTCTTTAACTATCTTTTTAAATTTATATATTCTTGAAAATATTTTTTATAATTCAGAGAATTAGATTAAAAGTAAGATCAGATCTAGAACAAGATTAGATCTGGAGTATTATTAAAGTAAAGTAGTGTTCAATCATGATTAGTATCATATAGTTTAATATAATAAAATATATATTTATATATTTATTAAATTATAAGATATTTATGTATTTATATATCTAAATATTTATATATTTATATATATATAATTATAATTAAATTATAAAATATTCATATATTTGCAACTAAATTATAAGATAAAAAATAAGTTTATTGTAATATAATAATAATATAAGACTTTTTTTCTTTTATTAACTTTAAAATAAGATGTATTTGTTAGAAAGTTTGATATATAATATTTTTCTAATAAATAATAAATATTTCAAACTAAATACAAGTATTCAGATCTCATTTTTAAAAATAAATAATTAGCTAAGTTTTAAGATTAATAGGATATTTTATCTTATATATTAGATAAAATCTATCAATTTTCTGTAAAACTAATCTGATTGAAGTATCTCTATCAAAATAATCATCTAATTAAATATATTCTCTTAATTTTTAAGTTATAATATTTAGTTCTATGAAAATTATATTAATATTTTTTTTATAATATTATCTTCAATAAAAACTATTAATTATCATTATCATTATTTTATTATTATATTTATTATTATCACTTTACTATTATATTGTGATATATATTTGATATGAGAGATAAATATTAATCCTAATATTACAAAAGTACATAATAAAAGTAATCACATACTTATAATAATATTAAGAAAGTTTTTAAAAGATTTATTAATAAGAATATGATTATATTAAGATTTATCTAAAGACAAATAATAATAATATTCTTGTTATAGTTAGCTAAAATATAATCCAATTTCAAAATATAATTTCAAAATAGATATAATATTCAATTGATTAACAAAGACAAATAATAGATCTTAATCAAGATCTATTTTACAAGAAAGATTTCTTAGAATTCTCTTAAAACTAAAATCTACTTAAATATAAATTAAGAACTAAACTCATAGAACTCAAACTAAATAACTAATTAACTAAATTAATTAATTAACTAAACTTATTAACTTTACTAGCTAAGATATATTACTTTTATATATTTTAGAGATTATATAAATGATACTTTTATTATGATACTTATACTAGTTTTGTTATGATCTAAATATCACTTTAATTAGTATTATAATATTGATTTTGTTATGATAGTATTATTAATTTTGCTATGATAATTTTACTAATTTTACTATAATAATTTTGTCATGATCATTATAGAAATCTTCTAAAAATATCTATAAATAATATTTTCTAAAACTAATATTCAATAAGATATAAGCAATTATTCATTTAATTATATTATAATATAAAGTGATCAATATTATATAATTAACTAATATTCTACTAAAAATTCATATCACAATAGGATTCTCTTCATTAACATTTTGCTTTACAAAATTTAAGGCTAAATGTTAAGTTACTATAAGACTCAGCAATTTTTTAAAGTTATTATTGATTATTCTTCCTAGCTTTATTAATGATAACTTTCTTAGACTTAGAATTACTTGTTCTGAAATATGTTAAAATAATTTACTAGCTCTACTAATAATTTTTCAATATCAAGAAATTAAGTTTTTAATTATTACTTGCAAAAGTTTATTATATAAGAATAGCTTTTTTCTAGTTGAATTTGTAGTAATAATAATATTTACTATCTCCTAATCTGTTCATAATATATTAAAATTGATATTTCTATTAAATAGAATTATAATTACTATTTCTATTATAATATCTATTAAAGTAATTCTTGCTTTTGATTTGTGAAGTGATGATATTTTAATAAATGAATAAAAAAAATAAATTCTACTAAGTAATTAAATAGAAATTATTTATAATAAATAATATTCTATAAATAAGTGTAATATAGAATAAATATAATAAATTAAAAAATAATATAATATAATTAATTTAAATTACAAAAATTCTGGATTAATATATTTTTCAGAAAGATTATATAAAAGAGAGTTTTCTAAATAATTAGATCTGTAATGTGAATTAATTTTTATGTTCAATTTTTATATTATAGTATATAATTTCATAATTTTAGTCATGTTACTACTAATCTAGAGATTGATATAATCTTGTATCATATTAAATAATAATTTAGTTATATAATTTCTATTAGTATTTTCTATATTAATTTGATTTTTGTATTTGTTTATTATTTATTATTAATTTTTTCTTCATTTTTATAATAAAATTACACTTCTTTATTATTTATTTAGTTATTAATGATAATATAATTACTCTATAAATTTTGTCAATTTGGTGAAGATAAAGATATTCTTTTACTATCATTATTTACTTTTTGTTTTTCTTTAGACAAATTTGTTTCACTATTATACTGAAAAATATTATTTCTTTAAAAAACTGATATTTTTCTCTATCTATTTTATTTGTTAAGCTATAATTATTATTATTATAGTATTTGACTATTATGAGAATGATGATTTTGATATCAAAAATAGTATTAAACTTTCTTTTATTCTTAAAATTCAAAATTTCAAGAATCCAAAAGAATAAAAGATAATTATGATATTATATTATTATTTTTCTTGTTGTTTTTATTTTTGTTAATTGCTGATATCCATAAAATACTAATTATATCCTACTTATATTTATTAGTAACTTTATTATTATTTTCTTTGACTTCTTGATTAAAGATAAGTCATTATTTCTTTCATTACATTCTTAATTATCTAATTAGTAATTAGCAGATTGTGTGATTTCATATTCTAAATGCCAATTAGTTCTAATACTTTCTGGGATTAAATTATGACTTCTAAAGCTAGAGCTATATATTTCATAAAGTAATATTAGACTTTTCAAATATTGTAGAAAATGAGAAAAAAACTCCTTTTTCTTTAACTTAATATGTTCTCAAGAGAGTATAGGAAGATATAATTTCTTATCTATATTCCAATAATATCCAAGATAAGTAATAGAGTAAAAAATTTCTTATTCTTTTCTTATATCTAGAGATAAAACTTCTTCTTCTTTTTGAAAATTAATTTTTAATAATTAAGTAATCTCTTTTTCATTTTCTTTTGTAAGGCTAATAATAAATTTTTCTTCTTTATTATTGATAAAATATAATTTACAATCTTTATAATTTATTCTTTTTCTATTTTTATATCAATAATAATAATAATTTTGTAAATTATACTAGTAATCTTGATATTATTATTCTAATCAATCTTTAGTTAGAATAATTTTTTCAACTTCTAGATATTAATAATATTAATAACTAGTATGAGAAAAATTATCCTAATATTTAGAGTTATAAATATATATATTATACTCTAAAAAGTTAATTATGAATGATATATTTTGAATAATAGCTTTTAAAGTGATGATATTCTTCTATTAACAAGATAATAAGACTTTAAGTAGATATGTTAATTATTTGATTTATTATAAAATTAATAGAATTTTGCTTTTATTTAATTAATTCTTTATATCAGTAAAAGTCATAACTTATTAATATTGAAGTTTAATTTGTCAGAACTAGAAATATTTAATTTTCTATAATAATTCTAGATTTTAATTTATTATTCTCAAGATATAGTTTCAGATAATCATTATTATAAGAATTTTTAAGAATTTTGCCATCTAATATTCTTAATTTATAGGTATCTTTATCAAAAACTTGATAAATATAATATAATTCTTTTCATTTCTAAGTAAATTTTTTATAATATCAATACTAGATTTCCATTCTTTTCATTAAAACTTTATCTCTGATAAAGAAAAATTAGTAATTTTTATCTTATTAATAATTTTTTTATTTTTATTAAGATTTTGTATATTTTATTAAGTAATAGATCTGTTTAATTCTAATCTATCTATAATAATGCAAGTTTTTTTAACTAATTCATTTGAAATAATATTTTTTTCATTATTAATTAATTTTAATTTAAGATCTAATAACATGATAGCTTGTTTATTATAGGTAAGATAAAAAGATATAAATTTTGTTAAACTTTATCTCATTATTCTATAAATAAAGAATGTTGAAAGTACATATATATCTTATTTTTTTTATATAATTAAACTAACTTTTCAATAGTATTATATAATATTCTATTTAATCTTTCTACAAGTCTATTAGTTTAA